CTGCACTGTTTGTGTGTCGTTTCTCTGCAGAGAAAGTTCGTGAGATCCAGGAGAAACTTGAAGCCTTCATAGAAGCTCTTCACAAGGAGAAATAACAGACAGGAGTTCTGTCTAATTATTGGTAAGAAAGTTACTGTAGATCTGTCAAATGATCATCACTAACAACACAAAACATTCATTCATTGCTTTTTTTTTTTGGGTCTGTGAGGAGCACAAATAATAACGTTCATCATTTACTTACAGAACTATTACAAGAACATTTTCTGGATCATAGCTGAGAAATGCACTGAAGAAAGACAATAAATCTGTAAATGGCCGACGGCTCCACTCACCTCACCTCACTGTCCGACTGATTTTAATGCTTCCTGGAGTCCATCCCAGCTGAGACCAGGCTGAAGATGGGGTCCGTGTTAGAAAGTTCAACGTACAAAAACAACTGTTTGTTCTCTCGCTCTTAAACCAACGCAGTTTGTCCAATCGTCTCGTGTCTTCAATCACCGCAGCTCTGGCCTTTGTTTGTTTGTTTTGCACTTACGATTCGCTGCACTTACATTCTCCCTTCAAGCTGTAAACTACCCTGAGCTGAAAAGTTAAATTAATATATATTATAATAATCGGAAGAAGTTTGTCTCGGCTTCCTGTTCTTTTAGATTTCCAATTTTCAACTTCTTTCCCGACATAATCACAAAGTTTCACATCGTTCTTTTTCAGGTTTGTAGAAATGACATGGTTGGTAATTCTCTGGTCAGCATCTCAATTCTTCATTTTTTTATAAAAAATATTAGTGGGTTAATTTTCTGCTATCATTCATTCTGTTTTTTTGTTTTTTGTTTTTTTTTTATGTGTCCTGCCTGAAAATACAGTTTTCTACAAAGAAAAATAATTTCCCTCAATAGTTTAAATTTTTTTATTTGAAGTCATTTTAGGTTGTTCCCTTATCCACATCCTGCTGCAGATTTAAAGTGATTTTTCAGTGAGAAATACTTCATCAACAGCTGTTTTTGTTTGTTTGTTTTTTGGGCCGGTCGCTCACAGGGTCGATGTTCCACTGCGTTTGTCTCGTTTCTTGAGTTTTTACAAGCTTTGCCGGGTTCGCACAAACTTTCATCTTTGTTTGCTCACTAAATCAGGAAAAACATAGGTGAAAAATGTACAATAATGTTCAGAAAGTCAAGACGAAAAGAAAAATACTGGTTAAAAAACCAAGTTTAAAAAACCACCGAATCGCTCTCTCTCTCTTTCACTCTCTCTCTCTCACCTGCTATTGTTCAGAGCTGGATGTTTTCCCAGTCTCTTCTCTCTCTCTCGTCCTCTCTCTGCTCTAGTACACTCCCCCGTTTGGACTATTTTATCTTCACTGGTGTAGATTTCTCATGTCATACCTCTGGCTGAAGACTGCGTTCATCCGATCCGTGTATTCCTATGTGAATAAAATTATGTACTATATGAAAAACATACAGTCCAGTCTGTACAGTTGAGTTCAGTAGAAAGTTCTGGATCAGCAGAGCGACAGATAGTGTAACAGAAAAAAGGTGAGTTGGTTAAAAAAAAAGTTTTATGTTGTAAAAAAACAAACAAAAAAACAAAAGCTGTTTGCATGTTGTACCCCGTCAGCTGCGCTTTATTTATTGCATTTGTGTTTAAAAGAAAATAAAAATGTAAATGTGGGTTTTGGTATTTTTGTCAGCTTGTTCTGGTGCTTTTTATTTATGCAAACTAGAAATATTAAAAAGGGTTTGTTAGAAGTCGGTACTTTTTAGTCCACGACCATTGGATGGACTTGATGCTTTTCCACATTTTCACGATTTTAAAACTTCACGCTGCTACTTGTGATTGACTCTGGGTTTTTGTTCAACACCAAATATGGTGGACGTCATTAAAAGAGACACCATGGTTTGTTGTGGGGTCTATGTTGCATGCACGCTTCAAACTCTGGGTTTTTGTTCACCACAAAATATGGTGAACATCATTAAGAGACACGATGGTTTGTTGTGGGGTCTATGTTGCATAGTACATGTAATAATATTTTGAGCATGGTTAGAAAGCAAAGTCTGGAAGTCTGCTCCTAAATTCACTTTTTGAACAAGTGAACTTGGTCTACGATGCACGTATGTCATGTATGTTAACTCTTCTTTTTTTGTTTTTTTTTAACTGCATGTTTACAGAATGCTTTGAACGGAACAAATCACCCTCCACGTGAACTTTTGCACCTGAATCTTCCCCCTCGGAGCAGTAATCAACACCTTGGGTTTCAAACCTCCGCTCCATGGTTCACTCTAATCCCCAGGGATTTGTGTTAAATGTACGCGTTATGCGGTGCAGACGGCTGTTCTCCCCACAGCTGTTTGCTGCTGGATGTAGTGACCTGTGTGCTGACGTGCTGAGACCTCTGCCCCGGGTCTGGACAAACCCTGTGAGTATTTACCTCTGCAGGCTGTTATCACAAACCAGAGCAGGCTGAAGACAGGATGCAGCCTGGGGCAGACAGACAGGGAGACAGGGAGACAGCCGAGGGGCTGACTGATTAATAAGTCGGAGTCCAGGGGTCCTATACTCCTGGGCATCCTCTCCTCTTTCACAGCGGCTCTGGTGAAAGCATCTCCAGGTTGTTTAAAGGGCAGCGCCGGATGAAATGTGAAGGTTAGAGGGTTAGTCATTAGTACGACCACCTGAAGGCCTCGCGTCGCTCTGCTGCTTTCTACGCATCTCATATATATATTTTCTGAAAACGTGACGCAAAAAAAAAATTAAACAAGTGATTGACTTTGCAGGAGAAGAAGGGGGAAGAGTCAACCTCCAGCACAAGGCCTTTGTGCAATTAGATAGCCACGTTCTGGGAGGAGGGAGGCCGACCGGGACACACTATACACCATTAGCATCTGCAAAGGCAGTCACATTGACTAATAGCCAGAGCCACAACAGCACAGTGGTTCGGTTTGTGTTTTCCCTCAATCCCCTTTATACTGCGGATACAAAAGCAGCCGGCCCAGACCTGTCAAATGTGCCACAGCAGCGGCCGTGCACAAAGCTTCATTTCTTGTCTTTTATGAGAAAAAGAAAGGGACAATCTTGTTGCTTCATTTTTTTTAAATCCCCACCTAATCAGGCAGACTGATTCTGTTTTTTTTTGACGGGGGTGTTGCTCCTCAGTGTATGACGAAGACCTAAAAGAAAGTCTTTGTAAAGAGAAATAAATTGTGGGGATGGGCCTTTTTTTTTTTTTTTGGTGTGAAAACAGCAGTGTTAGCGTTCGTCCACCGTGTTGTTGGCGGCTTTGTTTTGGTGCATTCGCTTTATCTGTGAATGGGAATTGGTTACATGCTCTGTGAAACAGACAACGGCTACAGGACGAAGACTAAAAGCAACGCAATCTGAACTTTTGTCTCGTCTTTCGGTGATGAAATTCTCAAGCTGTACATGTGGATAATTTTATATAGAATGACAACAGTCAGTCCTGTCATTCTATATAATACATAATATATAATACAATATATCTTTATCTACATTCTTATCTACATTCTTAGCTTAGCTTTTAGCTTAGTACACGCTGGTGTTTTCACTGTAGAACAAAATACAGTTTTATCTTTTTTACGGTGATGGATTTCTCTCATTGTTTTTTCTATAACCAAATTCATCCCCATGTTTTATCTGATTTCTCAACAACAGGGCAAATGGAATGTAGCTTTAGACCTGGAAGTAGCGTTAGCTGCGTATGCTAAGTTTTACCAAGTTCTTCCCTCATATAAAATAACCAGTGATAATTCTGTACATGTCACTCAAAGGTAAACAATCTAAAGTTACACTCAAACAGCATTCGGTATTGCTAGTTGCTAGCCAGCTTGCTAATAGCCGGATGAATTAACTAAAATGAAATTTCACCAGCATAACTTAGTGATAACGTAGGCTCGCTCATTTATTTAAAGTAATTTTTTTATGTTTTAAAGCGTGCTAATATTGATGTCCATGTCTTGTCTACAGAAATGATGGGAAATGTTTGGAATAAAAGTTCCAAATCCGACCTTTATGTACATATTGGATAGTCATACGGTACTGACACTACATTCTCTTTAGTGAGATGAATATCGTTTTGGATGAGATAACTTTACACTATAACATGTGGAGCACAATGGCCGCTCTTATGAGAGTCCCTTATCAGCACTTGACTGCATTAGTGCAGATAAACACGGCGGATGTAAATCTAACACTGTGCTCCCTGGGAGACAAACTGCCGCTGATGAATCTTATCAGACGCTTGTTGGAGCAACAGGCTTCCCTCTCCGTTTCAGCCAACAAACCCGGCTACTGTCCCCGGGGCTCGCGGCTTTCTGCCCTGCAGAGAATGGACGCACAATTGGCCTTTGTGCTCATTATGTTGGAGGCATCTTCCCATTGCGCTGTGGGGTCCATTCCAGAGCTGAATTAGGCCCGTGGGGATTTTAGCCACAGAGTCACAGAGGTCAGCGACCTTCCTTAACGTACCTCCAACACACACACACACACACACACAGAGACACACACACACCTACAGAGAGTAAAATTCTTTTTCCGTGTCAGCTATAAATCGTGGCAGTAATGAGCGCTTCACTTTTAGGAAATGACGGGAATTTGACCATGTAAATGCAGCGGTGGTCCTGTATCTGTGTGTGTTTGAGGGGGAGGGGGTGACTGTCCATTCAGATGTGAAGTCCGTCCTGAAGAATCCATAAAATGACCTCATCCTCTGTGGTGGCGCGGGGCCTCAGTGATAAATCAAGTGACTGTGGAGGAAACTGTCCTCCGTCACTGTCCTCCGTCACAGTCTGTGTCCGTATCGTCTCCATATCTCTGAGTGTCCCCTCATGTACAGAGACCGCGCTTCTCCACAACGGACCAAATAACAAACAAACAGAAGAAACAGCTGCAGGAGTAAAACTTGTTTTTAGCAAATTTTAATCAAACGTTGGTGCAGACTCAGTCCTGAAGTCGCTGTCTAACCAAAACAAACCTCCGTCGAGCTAAAAAAAAAAAAAAAAAAAAATATTGCCCTGAATTTCAAACAGACACTCGTCTCTGCTGGCTCCTCTCCCCTCGACTGTTTTCCCTCTAAAATGACAGCGCTGTCAAATCCAAGAGATGCCAGTCTTTGTCTTCTTCGTGCCCAAATGTTGCAACACACAGTAAATATGAAGGCATGTTCCTGAAACCAGATGATTGAACGACGTGTGGGAATTCAATCAAGGTTTTTTTACATGTTGACTGTGAGTAAGAGCTGGTCAAATGTTCTGATAATCATTAATGACAGGTGAAGTAGTCTGACGTTCGTACTCCTACAGCGGGTTGGTCACCGACCGCTGTGAAACTGTGACGTCGTTATTGCACAAACCAGTCGAACGGAGCTGATGAAACACAGAGTGTGTTTACGTTTGTTTTTGGTTTGCAAATGTGAAAATTAAACAGTGACTTAATGAAGTTCAAAAAAATGTTTTGGACAGAATCACTTGATAAAAAACAAAACTGGTCATTTATAGTTGGTCTGTATGAAGTTGATTTAGTTTGAAGATGAGAGCTGAGGCACCGTCTGCAATTTTTTTTTTTTACTGACGACGTCACGTTGTTCACAGTCACCAGACTCCTGCTGGTTATTTTACTGTAACTGACATTTCCAATTTTCCTCGTCTTTTCCCACTGTCTCTCTGTAATTGTAACTTCGTGTGTCTTGGTGTTTGGTTCTTTTGGTGGTCGTGTATAAATGGACCAGAGTCTGATTGGATGAAAACTTGAAGACTTTTTTTTCTGGCGATCCATATTTTTAAACGTCACAAACCTTCGCGACCCAAGTCAATAGACGTTATTCGTAAACTCCTGGGAAACATGATACGAGACGACCCCTAAAAAAACCTCTTGCGACCCACCTGAGGGTTGCGACCCAGTCTTTGGGAAACAATGTTCTAAAGGGTTCTGTGTGTGTGTGTGTGTATGTGTTAGTGTGTCCATGAAGCGGAGGGTTGGGAACTAAACTGTCGCCGAATGGAGCGATCTGTGCAAAGTTGCCATGGAAAAACCGAAGGTTTCACAAAGTGTTTCTTAATGGAGTGAAGGTCCCGGTGAGAGGGAGGGGCTCGCAGCTTCTAGAACAAGAAGCAGCTCTGGGTGTGCATAGACTTAGAGGGATTATGTGAGCATTCATGGCAGCCAGTGAGGCCAGCAGGTGAGATCTGTGCTCGGCTGCTGCTTCAGCCTTTAGGTAAACACCGCGAGAGGCCGTCCGGGCCTGGAGACGTTGCCAGGCTGAAATAGTATCTGTCCACACCAGTAACGTCAGTGAGGCTGATCTGCGCCATCCTCCTCCTCCCCCTCCTGGGGTGGAGGGGGGGGCGGGGGGGG